AGTGGTTAAAACCAAAACAGGACCAATTTATTTCTGTTTTCTTTGTTTATTTTTCAATGTACACTTATAGTCTGTTTACAAACATCCTAAATGAAAGGTTTTGATGATGAACTGAGCAAAAAGTAGAATAGTAAAAACAAAAAAAATGGTGAACAAATAACGCATATCAGAACAAAAAAAGAAACACGTTGCAGATCACTGATCCTTAGATGTGGAGGTGGCTTCTTTTCAAAGATTTTTCTTTTTGTTTTCAACTGGTGATCCTGCCAGTCAGTGCTGGGTCATGAGGGCAATTATCTCTCTGAAGTATTTCCTTGCAAGGTTCCCTGTGCATTGGGACTATTTAGACTTTTGTTTGCAGGCAAAGCAATAGATCACAGAAGTAGTGTTCAGAAGGGACAGGCCAGAGCAACACCATCTCATGGTGTTCAGAGAATAGTTCTCAGGGGTTTTCACTGGTTTGAAATGCTTGGGATGCAAGCATGGTTGCTCTCCTTCTTCTTTCTGAGAGGATGAGGAAGAGAAAGAGCAGAAAGCTGTGGAGGATTGGAAATCCTTTGTCGGTCTAGGTCTACCAGGAGGAGTCTCGCGGTCCCTGTCACACCACGGTGGGCTTTCTGGCAACATGGTACACAGTAACCTGAAGCTATCACTGTCAGAATCCTCTTCCCCTTAAAGTCACTAGTCTTCGTGGCCCCTAAAACCATCCCAAGTCCATCCAGAGCCCCCTTACTTGCAGGAAGTGATGTATTGGGCTCACCCAGAGAAAGTATTTGTTTATATCTGAAACGTTTCGCTCAGCAGTACCCTGTAGAGGAGTTCTACAAGAAATGGGGTTTCCCGGTTGTTAATCGGATTATTTTCTAACAGAATAATACTTGAACTGGGGGACCCTTATGGTCTCAGTGGATGAGGTCAAGGTCTATTATAAACGCCACAGATAAGAGGTTAGTTGCCCTTGTTCAGGTGTCCTTACTGATATGAGCGAATCTGCAGCCTGATGTGGCTGTGGTAGGAGTTTGCTAAGCCCTCAAAGTGTGGGCAAAGTGTATGCTTTATTCTAGAGAATTGAGCCCTCAGTGAGGAGGCACCCCCACTTGCACAGGTGGCACATCTATCAATCTTCATGGCTGTCTGGACTCAGGAACTCACATACAACTGGGTCTGCAAGCTGGAGGTTCAAAACTTTCCCCTTCCATGCTTTATGCACTCAAGGGTGTCTTTGAACTACAGAAAAATAGCAGTGTTCTTTGCAGTCTGCTGTCCCAGGGAGTCCTTGCACCCTACTAGACGGGAACAGGCCTCAAAGATTATAATTCCACCTGTTTACTTTTCCCAATCCAAATGGAGATATTCAGACTATTCTGGAGCATCTCAAGAAGTTCCTAAAGGTACAATAATTCTGGAATCTACTGGAGTCAATTATTGCTTTGCTTCGTCAATGGAATTTCCTGTTGGTGGCACAGGTGAAGGTACCGCTTCTGCAGGAGAAATGGCTGTCTGGACAATCCCAGGTGGAATCCCTTGATTAAGGTTTGCATAAAGGTATTGGAGAAAATGGTAGATACCTTTCATGTGGCCCCCTATGCCCAGTTCCATTCCAGAGCCATTCAACTCAATCTCCTGTTAGTAAGGGACCAACATCAGGCGTTCTTAGACCTGCCACTGTAAATGACTCTCAAGACCCAGGGCAGCTTTGAAATAGTGGATATCCATGCACTACTGGAAAATCTTTCCTTCTGATGAATTGGAAGGTCTTGAAGATGAATGCCAGTCTGCTGGGCTCGGGAGGTGTTCTGGCGAACCTCTTGGTTCAGAGCATGTGGAAAGTTACCAATATCCCGAAACTTCAGCTGGTTCTTCTACACAGGTCTGTCTACCTTGAGGGTCTTCCTGTCATGGTGCAGTCAGACAATGCCACAGCTGTGGCATAAAGCAAAATTTCAGGAGGGCCAAAAAGTCATGCTGTTCAGAAAGAGTAGACCTGAAGTTTTCTTGGGTAGACATCATGTCCTGCGCATCTCCACTGTACACATTCCCAGTGTGAAAAATTGGCAGATTTTCTCACATTTGAGGTGTTTGCAGAGCTTTGTCTGTGGTGAGGGACACTGGCTGTGAATCTCTTGGCATCCAGATTTATTATTAGGTTTGTGTCAGGGACCAGAGACCCTCAGGGGTTTTTGTGGATGCCCTGGTGACTCCTTGGGATAAGCTTTCCCTGATCTATGCTTTCCCACCACTGCAGTTTCTACCTCACATTTTGTGCAGGATAAAGGTGGAGGGCATTTTGGTGATGCTGAACACACCTGCTTGGCCAGAAGAACATGATATGCGGACATCGTAAACCTCCTGGCAGATGACTCCAGGGTTCTTTCAGATCAGCCAGGTCGGTGGTCACAGGGTCCAATCTTCCATCCTGCTTTACAGTCTGGCTTTGATGGCAAGGCTCTTGAAGCGGAACTCCTGAAGGATAAGGGTGTTTTGGACTCTAATCTATACCTTCTCCAAAGTAGGAGACTCCAGAAAGGTATACCATGATACATGGAAGGCCTACTTCGCCTGGAACATGGCTTGTAAGTTTCATCCCCAACAATACGTTGTGGGGTGCATTTTGTTTTCCTCCAGTCTGGGGTGTTTATGTCTCTGGTTTAAGTACCATCAAGGGTCCTCAAGCTACTGTTCAAGTTTGTACGGCTGTTACCTGGTCTTCTCTTCACATGTGTGCTATACTACTCTACCCAATAGATGTTACTATTTGATTCATTTTAATATTGTGTATATTCCTAAAATAATTTTATCTTGTAGAGAAGGGGAATGTTAAAAAAAACCCATCTGGGGTGTCAAATATTCTGTTTATCCAATCCTTTATTATTTTATTTTTTAACAGTAGATCTACATTTACCTGATTATGCTAATGTACCAAGAACTGTAGATATATCCATTTTTAGCAGGAGCTTCTTGAGACCCGAGCAACAGATAGAGTACGGAGCTAAAAGGTGGGTGTGACTTTCCTGACTATGCAGGGTGGAGGGGGGGCATTTTTAGTACTTTGTTGTGTGTTTGTGCAATGTGATTATTTCAAGAGAGCAATGGTGACCACAGATATAAGGGAACAGTTGTCTGATTTGCAATGTACCCCGGGATGGACTGAAAATATGACATCTGTGGATACCGGATCATGGGATGATTATTCATCTGAATGGCCAAGAATACATGTTCATGAAGTGCCCTTCAAAGATTTAGCCTGAGGATGGTCTCATTGCTCCCGCAGGCCTGATCTCCCTTGAAAGGTTTGGTTGAGCTTAGAGGGTCATACCTGAACACCATTCTTATCTGGTTGGATCAATCCATCCCAACTGGTGATTAGGTAGATATTGGACCCCTTCCCCAATTAGTGTCCAAGTGTCTGTCCCCCTCCTTGGGTCATCACTGCTATCTGTCCCATTCCTGGGTTACCATTACCAGTTCTGTCTCTCTTCCTGGATCAAGATTACCATTGTCTGTCCCTTTTCTCAGATCACTATTACTATGGTCTGTCCCCCATCCCTGGTCACCATTACAAGTCTTTTTACCTTCCCAGGGCAAGATTACCTGTTTCATTGCTGGTGTCTGTCCCCCTTCCAGTGTCACTCTTACCGGTGTCTTTCCCCCTTCCGGTGTCACTCTTACCGGTGTTTGTCCCCCTTCCGGTGTCACTCTTACCAGTGTCTTTCCCTCTACCGGTGTCACTCTTACCGGTGTTTGTCCCCCTTCCGGTGTCACTCTTACCGGTGTTTGTCCCCCTTCCGGTGTCACTCTTACCGGTGTCTGTCCCCCTTCCGGTGTCACTCTTACCGGTGTCTGTCCCCCTTCCGGTGTCACTCTTACCGGTGTCTGTCCCTCTACTGGTGTCACTCTTACCGGTGTCTGTCCCCCCTTCCGGTGTCACTCTTACCGGTGTCTGTCCCCCTTTCCGGTGTCACTTTTACCGCTGTCTGTCCCCCTTTCCGGTGTCACTCTTACCGCTGTCTGTCCCCCCCTCTGGTATCACCGTTACCGGTGTCTGTCCCCCTTCTAGTATCACCGTTACCGGTATCTGTCCCCCCCCCTCTGGTATCACTGTTACCTGGGTCTGTCCCCCCCCCCCTCTGGTATCACCGTTACCGGTGTCTGTCCCCCTTCTAGTATCACCGTTACCTGGTATCTGTCCCCCCCCCCCCCCTGGTATCACTGTTACCTGTGTCTATCCCCCCCCCCCCCCTGGTATCACCGTTACCGGTGTCTGTTCCCCCCCCCCCTGGTATCACCGTTACCGGTGTCTGCCCCCCCTCTGGTATCACCGTTACCGGTGTCTGTTCCCCCCCCCCCCTCTGGTATCACCGTTACCGGTGTCTGTTCCCCCCCCCTATCACCGTTACCGGTGTCTGCCCCCCCCCCCTCTGGTATCACCGTTACCGGTGTCTGTTCCCCCCCCCCCCTGGTATCACCGTTACCGGTGTCTGCCCCCCCCTCTGGTATCACCGTTACCGGTGTCTGTTCCCCCCCCCCTCTGGTATCACCGTTACCGGTGTCTGTTCCCCCCCCCCCCCCCTCTGGTATCACCGTTACCGGTATCTGTCCCCCCCTCTGGTATCACTGCCCCCCTTTCAGTGTCACTGTTACCGGTGTCTGTCCCCCTCCTGGATGGCCTTTCCCCTCCCCAGGTTGGTGATGAAGCGACGGTCCCTTCTCGTGTCTGTCCCTCCCTGGTGTCCCGGCGCCGATCCCCGTCGGTGGGTGGAGGTCCCGGTCCCTGGCCCCGTGTGTTCGGTGGTGAAGCTCCTGTGTGTAGTGGATGGAAGCCGCACTGCTCCGCTGTCCTTCCCGTGTCCCGGTCCCCGCTGTCTGTATCCCTCCCCCCGCCGGTCCCGTCTCTGCGCCGGTCCACCTTAATCGGGAGGCTCCGGGCTGCAGCCAATCACCGGCAGGGGGCGTTTAAATCCCCCCGCCGGGCGCCATATTGGGCAGTGACCCGCTGAGCCATGTCGGGCGTACGCCTATCCCCGGGCTCTCCGGGCGTAGAGCGGGTGTCTCGGGCTCCGGGCTCGCCCCGCCCCCTCGCCCGCCGCTGTCTCTTCGGCCCTGTGGACGGGCAGAGTCTGGCCCGGGAGGCGGCCCGGTACCGGGCGAAGATGGAGGAGGAGAGCCGCGCCCGATGGAACTTCGACTTCAGCACCGACCGCCCGCTGGACGGCGCCCTGCAGTGGGTGGAGGCGGGGCCGGACACGCCCGAATTCTACCGCCGCCCGGTGCACCGCAAACCGACCAACAAGAGGAGCGGTCCGGGTGAGGGGACCGCACTACAGACCGCTCAGTGTATGGGGACCACACTCTACAGACCCACTCAGTGTATGGGGACCGCACTACAGACCGCTCGGTGTATGGGGACCGCTCTACAGACCGCTCGGTGTATGGGGACCCGCTCACAGACCGCCGGTGTATGGGGACCGCGCTACAGACCGCTCGGTGTATGGGGACCGCGCTACAGACCGCTCGGTGTATGGGGACCGCGCTACAGACCGCTCGGTGTATGAGGACCGCTCTCTACCGACCCGGACCGCACTCAGTGTATGGAGACCGCACTACAGACTGCACTCTACAGACCGTTCACTGTATGGGGACCGCGCTACAGACCGCTCGGTGTATGGGGACCGCTCTACAGACCGCCGGTGTATGGGGACCGCGCTACAGACCGCCCGGTGTATGGGGACCGCGCTACAGACCGCTCGGTGTATGGGGACCGCGCTACAGACCGCTCGGTGTATGGGGACCGCGCTACAGACCGTTCGGTGTATGGGGACCGCGCTACAGACCGCTCGGTGTATGAGGACCGCTCTCTACCGACCCGGACCGCACTCAGTGTATGGAGACCGCACTACAGACTGCACTCTACAGACCGTTCACTGTATGGGGACCGCGCTACAGACTGCTCGGTGTATGGGGACCGCGCTGCAGACCGCTCGGTGTATGGGGACCGCGCTACAGACCGCTCGGTGTATGGGGACCGTGCTACAGACCGCTCGGTGTATGGGGACCGCGCTACAGACCGCTCGGTGTATGGGGACCGCGCTACAGACCGCTCGGTGTATGGGGACCGCCGTACAGACCGCTCGGTGTATGGGGACCGCGCTACAGACCGCTCGGTGTATGGGGACCGCGCTACAGACCGCTCGGTGTATGGGGACCGCGCTACAGACCGCTCTCTACCGACCCGGACTGCACTCAGTGTATGGAGACTGCACTACAGACTGCACTCTACAGACCGTTCACTGTATGGGGACCGCGCTACAGACCGCTCAGTGTAAAGGGATCGCACTCTCTGTATAGTGAACACACGCTATAGACCGCACTCTGTGTAAGGTGACCAAACTCTGTGTATGGTGACCACTGTATAGGCTGCACTCTGTGTATGGTGACCACACTCTATAGGCCACACTCTGTATGGTGATTGCACTCTATAGACCGCACTCTGTGTAAGGTGACCAAACTCTGTGTATGGTGACCACACTGTATAGGCTGCACTCTGAGTATGGTGACCACTGTATAGGCTGCACTCTGTGTATGGTGACCACTGTATAGGCTGCACTCTGTGTATGGTGACCACACTCTATAGACCGCACTCTGTGTAAGGTGATCAAACTCTGTGTATGGTGACCACACTCTATAGGCCGCACTCTGTGTATGGTGATTGCACTCTATAGACCGCACTCTGGGTATTATGACCATAGTGTGCAGACTGTGACCACACTCTGCATTTGAAGACCATCATCTGCCTACACTGACTGCACAGCACAGACCGCATTTAGCATATTGTGACCATAATCTGCTGCCCATGACTGCACACTATTTCTGATGAGCGCTTCCTGCAGGCTGTTCCCCCATTGTACTTCTGGTGACTGATATGTCTTGGCTGAAGCTGCGGTCCTGTAAGGTGACCAGAATCTGCTTCCCCTGACCACACTGCAGACCGCATGCTGTGTGCTATGACAGGACTCTGCTGTGACTGCATTCGATGGTACTCACTGTGTATGCCGACTGCATTCCACCAACAGTGAGTGCCTTCCATAGACCGCGCTCTGTGTATGGTGACCGCACATGGTGACACCGCACAGACTGCACTCATGGATCACATCGGCCGGTCATAGACATGGCAACCGCATCCAAGTTCCTGGAAATGGGAGGTGTGATAAAAGGGGGGTGATGGATAACAAGTCATCTGCCCACAGCTCCCAGCACTCCCCTGATTGGTTGGTCAGTTGATCTGACAGTATAGTGGCGGCTTCAGTAAGGGTGGATGGAATATTAAAAAAAAAAAAAATCAATCAAAAGCAAAAACTCCAATTTTGATGAAAGTGACGAGACTTCTCCTCCGGGGTCAGGCAGGTCTCCTCTGGGGTCAGGCAGGTCACCTCCAGGGTCAGGCAGGGTCGTCTTCCTCTCCAATCACTGCCATCAGAACGGCTCATTTCCAGGTTCCATCTCTCCAGTGTGAAATCCCAGTTCAGACAGATGTGATTGAAGTTGTCAGGCAGATGTGATTGAAGTTGTCAGGCAGATGTGATATGTATTGGGGGCACCTATCCTGATGGATGGTGATCTGTGATCCCTGCTCAGTGCTCTCAGCTTCATTGCTTAAACATTGTGAACTGCTCACATGGAATTCTGGGATTTGTTGTCCCACCACTGCTGGGGTCTGACCAAGGAACACCAAAGCATGTATGAGCCGTCTTATGTCTGACCTCAGGCTTCCTTCTCTGGACTGACATCTCCATCCTACTTCCTCAGAGCCCCCCTCTGCCAGCTCACAGACCACACACAGGACAGAGGCTGGAGAAACATCAGATGGAAGCTTGACGCCGCTGCCTGAGCAGACCCCCAAGAAGAGCCGACCCTGCACGTAAAGGATTCGGGTAAGAGCATTTACTACAGTGTGTGTGCTCCGATCCTGACCCGCCCGGGCTCATCTAATCCTGACCCGCCCGGGCTCATCTAATCCTGACCCGCCCGGGCTCATCTAATCCTGACCCCCCCGGGCTCATCTAATCCCGATCTGCCATAACTAACCTAAACCCGACCCGCCTGGTCTCATCCAGTCCCGACCCGCCTGGTCTCATCCAGTCCCGACCCGCCTGGGCTCATCTAATCCCGACCCGCCTGGGCTCATCTAATCCCGACCCGCCTGGGCTCATCTAATCCTGACTCGCCTGGGCTCATCTAATCCCAATCTGCCAGAACTAACCTAATCCCAACCCATCTGGGCTCATCTAATCCCAACCCGCCTGGACTGCTGCAAACTTGCCTAGCTCTGGGCATTGCCTGGATACAGAAGAGTTTACCTGAATCTCCTTTTACTGACTGCAGCTTCTGTTTTTATAAAGAAGAAATCATTTCAGACAATCAGATATACCGGAGATATACCAGGAGACAACATTGTGTCCACATCAACTCTTCCTGCAACCCTGTCCTTGCTGTTATTTCCTTCTCTTTTCTCCCCCCCCCAACCTCTCACTATCCCCCCCCCCCCTTCATTCCTCTAGCCTTTTCCTCTCCTTTCTCCTGTCTTCTGTTTTTTTTCCTCTCCTCTTTCTTTTTCCTCTCCTCTTTCTTTTTCCTCTCCTCTTTCTTTTTCCTCTCCTCTTTCTTTTTCCTCTCCTTTCCTCCCTTTTTCCTCTCCTTTCCTCCCTTTTTCCTCTCATTTCCTCTCTCCTTTTTCCTCCCTTTTTCCTCTCCTTTCCTCTCTTTTTCCTCTCCTCTCCTCCCTATTTCCTCTCCTCTCTTTTTCCTCTCCTCTCCTCTCTTTTTCCTCTCCTCTCTTTTTCCTCCTCTCTTTTTCCATTCTTCTCCTCTTTTTGCTCTTTTTTTTTCCCTCTCCTCTCTCTTTTTTTCCCTCTTTCCTCTCCTAATTAACCCCTCTCTCCTTACCCCCTCTTCTTTACCCCCCCCTTATCATTTTTGGTCCCCCTCTCTGTCCCCCCCCCCCCCCCCTGCTCCCTGCTTGGGGGTTACATGCCGCCAATCTATATGTGACTCTTCTTTCCCTTGTGCTGAGCACAGCAGCCCAGGCTGACCTCGCAGTAAACAAGTGGTAGTGGAAGTGGAGGGGGGGGGGGGCAGGAAGTGGCCAGCTGCGGAGCATGACAGTGACGTGTCTTCTGTTTGAAAACAAACTGCACATCGCTCTGCGGTTTCCAGGGCTTTGTATGTGTCTCGGGGTGTGCGCTGTACATGTAGTATGCAGAGTATATATGCACAGCTGTACACAGGCACCCGGGTCATGTGACAAGTTGTGATACAAAATAATAGAAAGGTGTCAAACATGCAAGATGACCTTAGAATGTTCCTGAGATAGAAGAGTTCTCCAGGGAGGGGATCCTTATAACTAGAACAGAAAGATTGCAATTCTATGGGAGTTGTGATTTCAGCAGTAATGACCGATGCGGTGTCCGATCCACGCACCACTTCCACATTCAGCTGGGATTTATTAATGTGCATTCAAATTAAAGCAGAGGGATTTTTTTTTGTACTATGCACCTCCATGGTGTCACCAGTTCTGAAGGAGCTGTCAAGACAGACACACCAGCTTCTCAGTACCTGCAGTGTATAGGTGATGGCTAAAGAGGCCTTTCTGAGTACAATGACCAGATCTGTCTGAAGGACACCCTCGGACTTCCTTACACTCTCTTTCACAACACTCCTCCACCTCTCCTTTCTCTTTTATGGCCGCTGCAAAACCTGGTGTCAGCCATTGTTCAGGTGATGATGTCACCTCCCATGTGACAGTGTCTGGGGCTAGAGATTGGCTTCAGCACTGCATTGCGGGATCAGGTGACCTGCTCCTCCATTCTACAAGCCCTGGATATTTTGGGCAGCAGGTGAATATAAGTGGGTTGGGCCACTTCAATACCAGGCACTCTCACCCCCTAAACAATATGGTAGTGTGACAAGAGCACCCCTACCTGAAAACAGAAGGTTACTAAATGATCCACGCGGAGTAATATGAATTCAAAAAATTCAGACAATACTTTATTTGATCACGTAGATCATAAGGAGGTTAAACATGAGCACGGTGAACATGTCAAACAAATAAAATCATGTTTAAAAAGCACTAGGCGTCTTCATTATAGGGTCATTTTAGCAAGTAGAGCACCATATATGGCAATATAGGGTAATGGTGAGGTAATTCTCCTAGATTTCCATGGATTTCCAGCTTATATTAGAGTGAGCCATGTATACAGCAGATATATTCCCAATATACGTCAGGAACCTCCTGGTATGTGAAGGCTGGAACACAAAAAATACACAATGTATGTATGAGAATATAGGAGCTAAATCACATCCAGGCCTCACCACTGATTTAGCTCCTATATTCTCATACATACATTGTGTATTTTTTGTGTTCCAGCCTTCACATACCAGGAGGTTCCTGACGTATATTGGGAATATATCTGCTGTATACATGGCTCACTCTAATATAAGCTGGAAATCCATGGAAATCTAGGAGAATTACCTCACCATTACCCTATATTGCCATTTA